ATTCCTCCAAGTCTCTCTGTGTTCCTAGCAGCCACTGCAGACACGTTCACAGACTTGTGCTGCCACTATCCCCTCTAGCTATAGCTATATAGAGCGTGGCTTAAAAATAGCATTGCTTATAAAATCGCTTCCAACTCTTATCCCCCTTCACAAAAACAAGTTGCTCGTTACTTCTTCCTATACCAGGGCACCCTTCAAGTCTCCCAAATCGGACTCTGTATATATTGCATTGTCTTCCAATTACTCTAACATTTTGAATGCCAGTCTACGCAGATTGGTTATGCCAATTATCCCATTTGATAGCTCAGAAATAACACGTGTCCAGCCTGAAGTGATATATGCTTTCCAATCATTGGGAGTTTAAGACAACAGTCTTTCTTCTTTAGCATTTACTTTTCGCCCACAAAATATACAGTTAATTCACTTTACAGTATATTCTGTGAAGCGCTTTGAGACGTCTCGAAAACGTGATAAGGTGCCGTATCAAATGCAAGGATTATTATTATTATTTATTAATTTGCAACCTATCTTCAGCAACAACAACAACACAAGATTCCATTTATTGAGCGCCTTTCACGTCGGGAGGACGTCCCAAGGCGCTGGAGGACGTCCCAAGGCAAACAAGAGAGCTCCCGGCTCAGATACTTGGAGCTCACACAGCACTAGCTGTGTATATACATATATATATATACACCCCACCCCCCCTCCCTGGCAGGGCCAAGTAGCACTTTGAACCTCCTTTCATTATGAGATCGACTTCTGTCACGAAATAGTCAACACTGCGGCAAATGCACACATGTGCACAGGAGCTTGACAAAGCTTTCAGCACCCATGTCAGTTGGGAGTGCTTCTCCTCCAATCATTATCCCATTGTGCTTTGAGACATCCTCACACCGTCAAAGGCATCATATAAATGTAAATTACATTGCCTTGTTTATTGTGTTTTTCTCCTCTGCCTCCCCCCGTCCTTTCTTTTGAACCATCACTAACAGAATCGTAACCGTCCACAGCACAGAAAGAGCTTTGCAGTCAAACATCTTTCGGGTGAGATGTTAAACTGAACTCTCATCTGTTGCCCGTTCAGGGTGGACGTTAAAGGAAAGGGAGTTTCTCCCAATCTCCTGGCTATAAATCACCTATAGTCAGTCAGAATTACTTTCTTTTGCGGGGTGGAGGGGGTGTTGGAGGGAGGAGATAGAGGTTTGCTAACTTGTTCCATCACTGTTAAAACTCTAGATTAGTTGGGACTGAAGAATGACGGAAAAGGTGAGGAGCGACTTGCCTGTGAGAGTATGAAAAAAGTGTAACACGTTCGATATTTGCAGCGCAGGTTTTTCGCGCTACAGTCCACCAGCAAACAGCAGAAATTCAGTGAAACCTTTTTGTCCAGTATTAGTGCTCCCTCTAGTGACTGCAGCAAACACTTACCATTCAAGCTTTAGTGAGAAATTCAAAGGTACTCAAAGCTAGCGAGACAGATAACGAACAAAGAGATCATTTTGCAGCAATACACAAACCAATCTTATGGGTGTTGAATATGAAGAGCACGCAAATCTTTGCATCTCCTACGTCAAGAAAAGTAACATTCAGCCTACATGCATGATAAAGCAATCAACATCCTAGCAAATTTATATATATATATAAATATAAATATATATATATATATATAGAAGCTACCTATCGTCTCTCATGCTCCAGGCATATGATGGAAGTTACAATTGTCATTTGGTAATGGATCCGCGTATCAATAAATGTCAGAATAATACAACGCACCACAGTATAATATAGAATATAAAAAGTTGTGAATGTCATTCTCTTCTGACGTCAACCACTTGTGGCAGGGGCTGGATTTACTGTCGCAGGACCTCAAGGGATAAATCGCGTTACTGATCATCGGAGCCTTGCAACTCATAGACTTTGCTATAATAATAATGATCCTTACGCTTGACAAGGGTCCGCTTCACATTGGGAGGGCATCTCAAAGCGCTTCACAGGATTTACTCTAAAGTGTAGTGACTGTGTGTTTTGTAGGCAGTGCGACCTCCTTGTTCTGTGAAAGATTATTGTCACCTCTTAAGCGGTAAGACCTAGCATACGTCACCTTTCACTAGAAGCCTGCACTGCCTAGTAAGTGCTCTAAATAGCTGGACAGAACATTCCAGCGCCTTGGGATGCCCTCCCGACGCGAAAGGCACTGCACATAATTGCAATTTGTTGTCGTTGTTGTTGCCCTGGACCTTAACAAGTGGCTGAGGGGCAGAATCAGCTCCACAGTCGGTGAAGCACAACAGTGAGCTTCGCTGCAGATACGGGCAAGCCAAGAAGTGTTTGACAAAAACACTTGATCTCAATAGACCTTCGGAAATAAACATCGGTATCCGCCATTCACAGGTTCAAGTTCTGTGACAACCTTCCAAAGCTGAAGAAATTGCCCAGAGACTAGATGCAAAATGAAGGGTTTACACACGCTCATATTTATTGCCTACAAGCTCGATAATGAAGGCACTTCAATTTAAACATAATCCTCTTGATAGATATTCTAACAAAAGGAGAGCTCTTTAAAGTTCTAGTAAATGGGGATCAAGTTTCCACATTGAAGGCTAAATTCCAGGCTTTCCGTTCCTATTAAAGCTTTTGTGAGACGCAGGCACACATTTCGACAGACAACATTTTGTCGCGAGGCTGCACTTTGATATTTCTAACTCCCCCAAGTTGGCACACGTTTTATCGTCACACCGAACGCGTGCGCGAAATCATTACAATAATCCTTGCATTTGACACGGTGGCTCAATTACATTGTCGAAACTTCTCGATGCAATTCACAGGACTTACTCCAAAGAGTAGTAATTGCGTACTTGTCGGCAAACATGGCAGCCAATTTGCACGCGGGAAGTTCCTACAAAACAGCCACAAACTGATTGTTGGCCAAGACACTGGAGGAAATTCCATTCTTTTTTTCCCCCCGACTGTGCCATGGAACCTCTAACATCCAATGGAACAGACCATTCTTTTTGCCAATTTGCCCTCTGCTCTCCCCAAGTCCGCATAATAATGTTAATAATAATAAACCTTGCATTTGATATAGCACCTTATCACATCGCTGAGACATCTCAAAGTGTCTCACAGAATATGGTGTAAAGTGTAGTGACTGTGTATTTTGTGGGCTAAAAGGGGCTGCCAATTGTGCACAGCAGTGTCCCACAAACAGTCGTGGATTGAATGACCAAATATTTGGGTGGGGGGGGGGGGGGTGGGGGAAGAGATTATTATTTATTACCCCCGGAAAGCGATCCGCCAATCGACTAACAACTTACAGTCAGAGTAGTGTCAGTTCAAACCGATGAGCTATTTCACACGCTGAGCCATATGTTGAGCATTTTCCGTTGGTTTCCTGATTTGTACGTTTCAGCTTAGAATGATGTGCCCTGTACGCTGCAACTTTAATATCATTTGCCTGTCACCCATCTTCTTTACGAGTATCATACACAATTGACTTTTATGAAATGTTCCGTGTGGCGTTATACGTGTCGCGAACACCCCGGGATCGAAGGACTGCATTAAATTTCCAACGTTGCCAGGATTCTCGCGACATATTGATGCCAATTGTGATTGATAAGCAGTTTTTTTTTCATAAAAAAAAATCCCGCAAGGAAAAAAAAACCCAGAATAACTCAACATCCCATTGATCGGCTCATAATTTATAAAAACTGAATTGTTTCGAAGCAACATCTCATAACCATTCACTCCCGTTGAGTGACATAAAGAATGTCAATAAATGCAAACTTCATCTTGGCGGATTCAAATCGCATTACCCTGCTGGAAACTACTTTTTGAGTTGTTTTTTTTTTGAGTTTATTAAGATATTTACATTTAGATTTAGCGTCTACGCGAAGGGAAGATTGGAGGGGGCGGGGGTGGGGGGTGAAAAACCGCAGCACTCCGCGAAAATGGTTGCTGCGCGGTCTGAGCATAGAAGACCTGTGTGACTTCCCACCTCCACCGGACGGTGACAAGTGTTCGACAGTATTCTAATGCACATTGCTACACTGAACCTCACCGGGTCTCTCACCCGATCATCTGTCTGGCAGTATTTGCCATCGCCTTCTTTTCATCGGGGCTCAGCGTCTGCTTCAACTTGGATCAATATCGATTCCTGAGCCAAGATGATTGCTTTGCAAGTTGACCTGACAAAAGCATTGGATCGAAGAGCAGCACTTTTTAACCGTAGCACATTTAACTACTGCAAATTGCCTTGCTCTTGCTCCAAGATGCCATCGGAGAAGTCTAAATACTGCACTCCTGAGCTGTTAGATGCAGTTTAGTTCCTTTTACCCTCTACCCACAGCATCGAGGTAGTCAGTGCTGAGTAAAGAGGTGACGTCTTCCCTAGAACACCTTGTCCTAGGATTAAATTCACCTCCGGTCCAAAAGGAGGTCTGCTCTTGACAAAGAATGATCACCCCGGAGCGAGTTTGACAGACATTGATTGTGCTGAGTGTTCTTGGTAGGCTGAAGCCTTTAGCTTTGAGTTAGGATTGACCTGCAAGTTAACTTTTTTTTTCCGCAAGGTGGCTTCCACCCAATTACCAAAGGAAACCTTTGAGCTTCCAGTCATGGAGGCAGTGCAGCCTTCCATTGCATAGATCAATTACTGTCTCATGGTTTTCTCCCTTCATCCCCTCTCAACTCCCACCCTCAGCGCCAGAGCTTTGGGACTTCCTCCCGACATGAAGGCTCCAATCTATGTGTGTATTGTATAACTGTATCGTAAATTTCTCACACCAAAGTACGGCGAGTGTCTTAAGAGTTGCTTATCACTTGGTTGTTGGCTATGTACGTAGAGATTCTGAAATAAACTTCAACAGCACTTTTGGCAAGTCAAGCTGCCAATCTTTTATAGACCTTCGGACATTTAAAATAACACGTACATTAATATAAACGCGTTTGCCTGCACCTCGCTCTCTGCAAGATGATAAATACGTACATGGCACAGTCCATAATGCAGCTCAAGGATTTATTTTGCTTCAAAGCAATCCGAGTAGTTCAGCTCCAAACTCAGCCAGTAAAGGCAAGTGAAGCAGGCAAGTAACAGAACTGTTTGTTATCTGGGGAAGAGTGGGTGGAGGGGGTGGGTTGGGTGGTGAGGTTGGTGAGGAGGGGGAGAGAGGGAGGCAATCTACAGATAAAATGGCTCAGGGATCTGCTAAAAACTTACTCATCCCGTTATACAGATTTTCAGCTTAATTACACCTCACATATAAAACTGGGTGGCTCCGTTTTTTTAAAAAAAAACGACCGACATGTAAATAAATGCATGCAGAGATAAAAACATCAATTACTGAAAACACAAGAGATATTACCGTACGAAATGTTGAAAGACAGTACACAAAACATCGGAATGGAACAGTCAAAGGAAACATTTCTTTCCAGCAACCTAGCACCTCCATCTTTAAAGTGTGACAATTCTTCTGCACGTATAAAAGTCTCAAAAGCTAAATCGTGGAAGGTTTATTATACTGCATCACACCAACTATTTTGTTAACTGATATACAAGTGGGAGAGAGGAGAGAGACTAAAAGGGTCGGGGGGGAGGGGGTGTGTTGTTGAGAAAGAGAGAAAGCAATTGAGAGAAATATAGTGTGAACAGCTGGAATCCCAGGCTGGGCTAGAGATTCAAGTCTTCATCTTTTTCCAGTCTTTTCGTCCAGATGTTTCTGGAGCTGCATCTGCTCTCCTCTTCTGTACCTAGTAAGTGACGAGCAAAATCAAGTTAAAGATGGAAATTGGTCAACCGTCTAAAAATATCCCCATAAAACAAAAAATTACTCGTGCAAACCAGAATTATTATTATTAATCTCAAGCCGAATTTTAACTTGCATCGTGTGAAAGATATTGATCTTGAATACACTGGCATTCTCAATGCAATATGAAATATTAATTGCAATGAATAAATATACCAGTGCTGAAATTTGCCAGTGCAGATGTATATCATTTTCAGTAACACTCCTCGTGTCTGCATCCCTTTAAGAAGTATTTAACTTTCTTAAAAAATGATGATCGATGTTAAAATCCACGGTTGTTTCTTGCGTATACATTTCCTTTTCAAACGGCGAAGGCTGATGATAAAGAACAGTGCCTTGGAGAGTTGCTGAGCCAGATGGCGTGTGGGTAGCGGAATTAACATCAGCAGCAAGTCATTAACACAAGGTGCTTCAGCTGAACAGCAGGAGTGCTTCCCCCTCACAGAGTTTGTTACTGCAAAAGGAGAGGCACACAGGCCTTGCTGCAGAGAGCAGGGCTCAAGGTGACTGTCAACAAAGTGCCTTTCAAACATTTGGGGCCCATTTCTCAAAACTAAAAGCTCAAGGGAGAGCGGACGGGGTAACTCTCCTGTAATGCCTTGAGACGGGGGCTATCCCATTAACATGCATCTTCAGAGTGCGTTGGTTTAACTCAGAACACCACATGTCTCGAAGCATAATTTGGAGTTCCATTTATATCCCACAGGAGTGTATTTAAAACAGCAGACAGTAATGTTCAATCTCATTTACTACCCTGAAAACAATGCCATTCTCATTAACTATCTTCAAACCAATCCAATCTCTTTCCTTTTACTTTTAATATGCACCCTCTTTATTCTTGTTTAATCATATCGTTCTCTCCCATCCCTCCCTCCCTCCCTCCATGTTCCTTCAGAGAAAGCTGAATTCTTAAATACCGTTCCAGCTTTAGGCCCTCGTCGCTTCTTCTCAGCTCGTTCCTTCTCCTCGATTTCTGAGTTCTCTTTCTCGATCAGCGATATCAAGGTGTTGCACCGCCTCTGGAGTTCCTGACGCAAAACAAAACGAGAAGTGAAGCTTCATTCATCAGTGACAGCATGCCAGACAGCAACTTCTGAAAGCAGACAAATTTGAAGGAGCGAGTCTGTTTGGCACGAGATAGTAATAACTCACAGGTCCCTACGATTGGCAAAAAGCAATGGAGTTGTCGCACCAATTGATTCTCCAATTACATCCGGTGTTTCCCATCACTGCACCAACCCAAGACTATTCCTTACGGCTAAACCTCTGCCAGCCAAACAGACCCCCAAATAAAATTGGTCACTCACTCACTTGGTCACTATTGCCAAAAGGATTTTTTTTCTAATTGACGCAAAGGAAGAGATTCTGTTGGCTGGTTGAACCACGAGACAATCCCATAAGAGTGAGGGATCTCTGCTGACCCATGTAGTTCTTCACCTTGTGAGATCTAAGCTGATTTTCCCACTTGGCTTCCCCCAGATACCGAGTTGCCAATTTCACCCAAGTCATTAGTCAGGTGCAGCCCAGAGTGGATATCCAGCCAACAGATGGCTTTCACCTCCACTGAACCTGAATGCCCTTCTCTCCCACAGCCAAAAACTGCCCAAAGTCACTCACTCAATTGAACAGATTTTCTAGAGATATTCGTGGCTACAAAGTGAAAGCAAGAATCGAAGGCAACATAAATTGCCAGAATCTGTTAAGATTTGACAAGTGTTTACATAACTTAATAGGAATTAAACCCAAATGAAACATAAAATAGAAAATCACAATGACAGATGTAGAAGATGAATAAACCAAATTTATCCAGGATCTTATGAAAGCTTTGAGATGATCAGAGATTGAGCTTCTGGCACCTAAAGTCGAACCTAGTACAGATTGAGATATTCTCTCTAAGGGCCCTTTGAAATCATAGAAACTAACAGCACAGAAGGTGGCTATTCAGCTCATCATATCTGTTCTGGCTCTTTTAAGCTGTGATCCTTTCAGTCCCATTTGCCTGTCCTTTCCTCATATCCCTGCAGTTTACTGTTTTTCAGAGAGAGAAATACAGTAAATCCCTGGTTTAGCAGGTGCCGGGTATCTGGAATGTGGACCTAGCCCAAAACAGATTTGTTTATTTATTTTTAATTCCACGAGCCAGGATTTGTCTACTCTTCCGCCATCACACTCTCTTAGCGCTCGCCCCGCCTCACCGAGCTTGCTGGCCTTCAGTGGAACTTGCGAGCAGAAAACAGCTCATATTTCGCCCACTAGTCACTTCAGTTTGCAGTATATTCTGTGAAGCACTTTTGAGCCACAGTAAGGCGTTTTATCAAATGCAAGGATTATTATTATTATTATCTGCTATCTTCTGCTCGCGGGATTCAAAGAATTACAATGCATTCCAGGTTTACCAGCAATGCACTCTAAGTAAAATAAACTGAGTATCTTAAGATCCGTAGAGTAAAACTACCTATTAAGTAGCATCAATCTGCAATCGCAATCAAGTTATGCCTAACCTCAAACAACTTGATGGACAATAGATGTCTGAAATATGCTTCAATATTCAGCATTAACATTTTGTAAACATGACAAGCATGGCAAATCAGTCCCATCGGATAAGTTGAATGTTGTCCTTATGTAACAAGTCTTAATCCAATAAATAGTCTGCTTTGATGGCCTGCAGTAAATTTGGCACAAATCTATAACTTATTCTACAGCTGCCATCCAATTTCATCAGGCTTCAAAACAAGTCAATATGTAAACAGATTAATAGGTTTCCCCAAAAGGAACGTGAAACTTCAATACAAGATTAATGTTGTGTTTAAAATCACATCAAGCATGTCAAAGCTACAGTTCTCAAATTGGCTACTTTGCAATTGTACCTAATGTTTGGTTTTACAATAACAATTTACATTCACAAGGCGCCTTTCCCGTCAGGAGGATGTCACAAAGTATTTGAAACAACTGACAGGGATTCCAAGCTGGTGTGGGGATTGGGGGAAGGGAGGGGAAAGGCGCTGAAGAAGGGAGGGGAAAGAAAGGTGGAAAGCCGCTGAGAAAGGGTGGCTGAAAGTACAGTCAAAGAGGTTCGTAAGAAGTGTTATGAAAGTTAAGAGGGAAGGGGCAAGACGGGGGGGGATGGGGGGGGCTTTGGGATGGTTGTTTTGCCCCTCAGTAGTGAGTTGGGGATTTTGGTTACCGTCAAGTCAGTTGAAGAGTCAGTCCTGAGGTAGCCACAAAGTGAGGTTCCATTATACACATATAATATAATACATATAAAAATTCAGCTAAAATCAAGTCTCCTCCACAAGAAAAGTTTGGTTCAAAAACGTTAAACCAGACGGCTCACTAATTCAGAAGCATTCTCATGATAAATCATTTGCGTACCATCGCGGTCCTGGATTTGATAAACCAGTCAAACCTAAACTGGGGTGCATTGCGGACGCACTGTCTCAGCTCCTCGTACACGTTTTCTTTATCGAAGCCCATTTTGTGCAGCATACAGATCAGAAAGCGATCCTCCTCTTCTGTGTAGTTCTTCCCCTTGTTAGTTCCATACTGGATTCGCAGCTGATGGAAGGGAGCTTTGTACCTCGCCATCTAAAGAGCAGTGAGAGAAGGGCACAGACAGGTAAGAGGGCTCAGAGAAGGTAAGAAACCACAGTTGGCGAATGAGCACAAGTCTGTTTGAGAGTCGGGTTGTCAGATTGCAAATAACAATCCAGAAATACTGTGAAATACTGAAAAGCATAACACGGAAAAAACACTGCAGATTGTTATTATTATGCTTGCTCTGTATCTACCACACTCTGGATGGGGCTTGAAACTGAGGCCCCGTCTGCCCTTTCAGGGTGGACATCAATGAACCCGTGGCAATATTCAGAAAAAGTGAGAGAGAAATAAAATCCTTCCCAGCTCGCTTCGCTTCATAGCTCTGTTTAGGACAATTTAACTACCACACTTGCTTATTGAACAGAGTCACCACACTTTAGATAGTCCAGTAATGCGCTTTGTGACGTTTTCACAACACGATAAGGTGACATATCAAAGATTATTATATTTTTAGCGCAAAGAGGGCAATTCTTTACAATTTTTAACTATTCAGACAATTAATTATTTCCAAAAATGGGCTGCATCCATTCGATTGGTGGTATTAAAAATGAAATATTCAGTTACCAAGACCTAACCGGGATGATAAAGAACCGCATTTTCTTTTACTCAAGATGTGTATTTTAATTAACAGAATTAAAACCAGTCGAGATAATCAGTCACTCAAATAAATTGCTTAATCCAAGGAGCAGGTCACCTGAGCTTATAAAGATCTGATAAACTGAAGCTTTTTTATGCATTGCAGTAAACCCTCTCTAAAAATCTTCCTTTGGGAACTATACAAAAATGATGCACAGCAATATTGCTGCATTAATGGAACAAAATTAATGAACATTCTTTTGAGGTCAGTGCATTAAATACAATATTCAATGATTGCTGAAGTGGGTCCAGAACAGCACTTAATCAGAAAAATAGTTGAGGAAAAATTACATTAAAACAAACAGTAAGAGAATGGAATGCGAGTAGATAGCTCTCATGGGGTGGAGGACAACCATCAGCAAAGACACAGCAAGCTTATAATTCCACTTCCTCGTCTTTATTCCCATCTCTCTTAATACCTGCACATCCCAGGGATCTAACTCCCCTTCAAACATTTCCGATTCCGCATCTAGAGCACCCTTTGGCAGCATGTGCCCTCTGCTCTTCGCAGCAAAAGGAAGACTTTTGAAGGCAAGAGACATGGCTGTGGGCAGTGAAGAGGAATAAAAGGAATTACAGTGAACTTCTGATAACTCAACCCTGGCTTAACTTGTAACTACCGCTTAAGTTACCATGCTGTCAACATCTCGGCCGCATATATTTAAGTATTTATGCACGTGCCTAACTCGCCACTCAGGATAACTCGTCACTGAGCCCTTTTCCCGCGGAGTGACGAGTTATCAGGAGATAACAAGTCGCTAACGTCATTTTGTTTTGGGCCAGCAACTAACAGGGACAATCTGTCTCATTCAGTTGATTAAACCAGCAGTTGCATTAACAATGCACACACACAGGTGTTGGTACAGTGGAACACTTACCCTACCAACACCTGTGTGTGTGCATTGTTAATGCTTATGAACTAAGCCAAACATTCTTAATCGAGGAATAAATCACCTTTGCGTCTAAAGCTTTCTTGATGCTAATCCGCCGTTGGATCCTGGACTCCCCGCGCTCAATCTGGGCCATGATCTTCTCGATGTCTTGCAGTTCATTGCAACGCTCCCAGAACACAGCTGCAACAAACAATTGGGTACAAATGCTCTCAGTACTACAACAACTCATCTTCACCCCTTTTCAACGGGGAAGGGTGGGGGGGGGGGGGGGGAGAGTAGAGAAAAGTTAAGAGAAGACTTTAGTTTTAATTTTAGTTTTAACTGTTCGTGGGACACTGCTGTACGCAATCGGCTGCCACATTTCACCCACAAAATACACAGTCACTTCACTTTACAGTATGTTCTGTGAAGCTCTTTGAGACGTCTCAAAGATGTGATAAGGCGTTTATCAAATGCAAGGATTATTATTACCATCATCTAGAAAGGGGGGGGGGGGGAATCTGTGAAATTATTAAAAGTTAACCTAAAAAGTTCAAAGATAACTTTTTTCAGCTCGAGTTTCACTAAGTATAATAACATGTACTGCGCCCCAAACAGAACAGAAACCAAGTTCACCCGAATACTCGATAACCTCTTCGGGGGACTTCCCCTCCACTTCCCGGGCAATGTTGTCAATGTCATCCCGACCGTATTTCTCGTTGGCTTTGATAAACTGGTTGAAGTCCCGTTTGTTCCAAGTCGTGAAGCCCTGGTAACGAACATTCAGGTAAGAAGTGTAGAAATCTTTTGAGGTGCTGAACAGATGAATAAAAATCGGCGTGCGTTTGAACGCTTACCTGTGTAAGAAGCTTCTCTTTCTCTTCACTCTCCTTCTGGTTCAGGGGCTGAGCGTCATCAATCTTCCTCTGCTCTTCCTTTTGCACCTGTGCCGAGTTATGCAATTCAGGATTCCTGGGGACCTGCAACCAAGAGAACAGAAAGCCACATGTGACTTTAATTGCGACTTCTTTCCATACTCCTCGTTACCACAGGAGACGGGCTGGGATTCGCTGATTTTTAAACGGTTGACAATATTTTAAGATAAAAAAAAGCTTTTGATGCACGCTTCATAATAATCCTAATGTTTGATATGGTACATATAACATCAAGGATGTCTCAAAGAGCTTTCTGTAAAGTATAGCGATTTTGTAGGCGAATGCAGTAGCCAATTTGCGTACAGCAACATCCCTCAAACAGTCATGAAGCGTATAAACAATTTTATCGAGGTGGAGGGGTGGCGGGCGGGGAGGGGGGGGGGCAATGTTGACTAGGGCACCAGGGGAAACCCTCTTCCCTTCTCGAAAAGTGCTGGACACAGGATTTTGAACGTCCATCTGAACAAGTCAAACAACCGCTAGCGAATCATACAGGGCAAAACACATCTATGCCTGAAGAAAAATCATGTGGACTTCAAGATCAAGGTTAACGGAGGCTGTACAATACCTTGTATCCTATACTTTTTCTGTACGAGAGAATTTCTTTCTCCAGCAATTCGAATAGCCGAGGTGGAAAGAACTGGAAATCTTGAATACTTGGCTGTTTCGGAGGGCGAGGCGCCTGGGGTAGAATAGAGGAAACAAATGCAAAATAAAAAAATCACAAAGTTAAGGAAAGTTCTTAGAATTTTCCCCTTATTTTTAAAGATTTTTTTTGCTCTGACGATCCCATGAACGAAGAAAAAAACAAAGATTTCCCCAGAATGATTCTCAAGGTTTTTCCATTGTTAAAGCGCCAGAGCGGATCTGATGGAAGCACATAAAATTCCAAATGGGAATGAAAAAGAATCAACCCAGAAAAAACACTTTGACACACCAAGGCAGCAGGAGACGAAGCGAAGAAATTTACGAGTGTAAAGAGCAATTTCAGCAGACAGCAGGAAATATTTCTTCACAGAGAGAGCAATTAAAGACTCGGACTCCTGGTTCGGGGTCAGACACCGCCATGCTACCCAGCATGAAGGATGCTACATAAATGCAAGTTGTTGTTGTTGTAAAGGGTTTCCAGGAAGGGTGGCAGAGGTCAGGACAGTGGACCCATTTGGGAAACAGCTTAACGCTGTTAATGGGCCGGAAGTGTGGAGAAGAGATCAAACAACTGAGGGCCTTCTTCGGCCAAACTTCTCCTCGCGACCTCGTGAAGCGTGGCGTAAATCTGAATTGAGTGCAGATTACGAGGGAGCTCGGATCAGGAGACCACCGTAGAGGAGTCAGACATTTCACACCAGCTTTCTCTCCACGGCGCTCGCTCTCAGCTTGGCCGGTTTAAATGCAGCATTTGAAGGCAGTTTAAACGATCAAGCGAAGTAATTTTAAATTCAGTGTACTAAATCTTTCCCCCGAGAAGGATTACCGAAATGCTTTTGTAAACAGGGTATTACACACTGCTTTACCTTGGGGGCTCTAGGCTCACTGACACGTAAAGCTTCTCGGAAATATGCATCAACTGCATAATTGGCTTTTCGTTCTCGTTTGGGTGGCTCGATCCACTCAGTCAGACCGATCTGTTTAAATGAAAAAAAGGTGGGGAAAAAGAAAACATATGTTTGCTTTAATATCGTGCATTTTAAATGCCACCACAGTCACCAGATTCGTCAATGATACTTGCTATACTTCACCGAATTCTGCACAGAGCAATTTGTTTTGAGACTTTTAATTCCTGCTGAAGTAATTACCTTTGAGACAGGAACGTATTGAGCAAAAACGGTTCAGGTTCTGATGTCGAGTGTACAAGAAAGCGTGCATAAATACACTTCAGAAACTTACGTCTTCTAGGCACACATTTTACTGTGTTTACCTGTGTTCTAGATCAGTTTTTCTCCAGAATCTCGTTAAACTAAGATTTAAATGATAGGGTTACCACCAAAGGGATCAATATGTTGTCCAACCTTTGAGGTGCAGCAATCTTATACTTAATATACTTACTGCAGCAATTTTACTGAAATACCCAAGCTGTTTATCCTGCAGAAGGAGACCATTCAACCCATCCTGCTTCCCTTTACCACTTCATTATTCGCCTATGTTTCCTCCTCTTTTCCACCTTGGTGGTGGCTCTAGGCTGAACTAGCAACTTCTGTAAAGCTACTTTCAGCCAGCATCAAATTATCCTTCGACAAGTTTGTGCATCAGAAACACCGCTACTCTCTGTAGCCGTGGTTCCCATTCCCCCACTGGCAGGACAAAGCCAAGGGAAGTCCGCGGAACATTTAAAGACTCTCAAAATGAGCGTCTCAAGTGCCCCCTTAAAAGAAGCCGTTACCTTCTGCTTTCCTCTATAATCTTCACCTTCAAAACTATATAAACTTTCCGTTTCCATGGTGAAGGATCGAAGGGAAGTTTCACCGAGCGTTTGCAAACGTTCTTTCATTTCGGCGGTCTGTAACAGAAACACGTTCAGACTCAGTACAAAATCCCTTGGGTCGAGCCATAGCACCTTTCATGATCTAAATCTTAGAGGAGCAGAGTCAGATGGTTTTAGATGAAAGAGAACAAAGAAAAGGCAAGGGGTAGGGGGAGAGCAGTTGCGGAAGAGTGCAATTCAGAGTTTGGGTCAGTCGTATTATGAAGCACGATCCATTGAGAATCTACGCACAGGGACACGAGAAATAATCAATAATAATAATGTGGGGGGAGGGGGGGGGAGAAGAGAGAAAGGTGCAGGGGATGGTGGGAGGCGCAACAGGTAAGGCGGACAGGGCTGAAGGTGACTGGAGCAACAGCCAAAGAGGTTATAATTGTAATTTATTAACAACAAAATATTAAGAGACCTCGGAGTAAGGTCCAACATGACTGAGGTTATACCTTCTTTTCGCCTCTCTCAAGAATAGTGGTAATGTCCTCGTCGGTCAGTTCACTGTCTTTGGTGGCAAAGACATGCGTGGCCCCGTGGCGAATCATTTGCAGCATCTCGTCCTTGCCTAGCTTGTTGGTTTGCTGGTCGATTAATCTCCCTGACAAAACCCCCAAAAAATAGAGACAGCCCATCCAGATCAAGCTTCAAAAAAACAGACTCGACGGTGCTCTATTTGGCATTCTCTCGGCGATTTTTCCACATTAAAATACTTTTAGAATGAAATAACGTGTAAGCTAACATGACTGTAAACGATAAAAGGCTTGCCGGAACAAGTGTGTGTTGGATGGTTGGGGGTGGGGGGGGGGGGGTGGAGCTTGGAAGTTCATACATCAAGACTTCATTGTAGCTCAAATTTAATTGCAGCGACAGAACCAAAAGCATTGCCCATGTCCTCGCTTGGCATGCAAAGCATTTTGTGGCCTGTAACTGTAGAGAAAGCAGAGCAGTGCCAGAGAACTTCCATATGGCACAAATGAGAAACCACCACAGCTACTAATTGCAAACTCGGAGCCTGGAGCACGATCTGAGCCGTAGAGGGGGAAAATTCCACCTGGGTCTAGATTTACGCAGTATTTCAAAGCGTCCAGAGTTTAGCAAAATTCTTAAAACACCGCCTCAATTTTGAAAGCAGTTTATTTTAAGAAACAAAGTCTTCAGAGTTAAGGCTGAACCCAACAATTTGCTAAATTCTGGCCGGACTCTCTCAAGTAATAATAATCCTTGCATTTGATATAGCGCTCTCCACGTCTTCTAGTCGTCTCAAAGCGCTTCACAGAATATACTCTAAAGTTGTATATTTGTGGGCGAAACGCAGCAGCCAATTGCACACAGCAGAGTCGCATAAACAGCGGGAATTGAAGTGACCAATTTATTATTGTTTTTTTTCTTGAGGGATTATTATCAGGCGTGTGGAGTAAGGAAACTTGCCCAAGGTTTCGCCCCCTGCCGGGAATCAAACCCAGGTCGCTCACTTGCAAGGCGTGAGCTCTAACCACTGAGCTACAGGACTCCACAATGCTACATAAATAGAACACATTTAAAATCACGGCAGCATTTCTCCCTCAAAGATTTAAGGGCGTAATGTATGCGAAATGCAAAGTGCGGTAAGGTATTTAATTATGTATAGCAACCAGTTGGCAGCCAATATGTATACAGTAGAAGGCTCAGTGCAGATTTTACTTTGTAACAAAATGTGTGGGTGATATGGTCTCCTTTTTTATTTAAAATCAACATCAAATTAACTTTACTATTGGATTTAAGAATCCATAAAAACTTCTATTGCTCCAAGTTAGTTTTCCGATACATTAATGGCTAATTTAGTAATATGTCCTAAAGGCTTTGTCCATACCTTGCTGAATGACAATGGAATCAAGTCTCAGCTTCATCTCAGCCCTCTCCACGATTCTCTCCTCCACTGTGTTATCGGTCAGGAGGCGAAACACTCGGACGGTTTTCGTCTGGCCAATGCGATGCGCTCGGTCCTGAAAGAATGCGTCATCATTTTCACATCGCGTCTTTCTTTTCCCATGGGAGATCTTATTTACGTACAAATCCCGCATCCTGCCCGAAGCTTTCGTCCACAGTCGCCAAGCTGAAAACAGTCTTTAGTCAACTTTTGGCTCAGTTGGTAGCACTCTTGCTCTCCCCCATTTCCAGCCCACATCAGATAGTTGTGGGTTCAAGCCCCCATGTTGGAACTTTGATCTCACAGGTCTAGGCTGAGTCTCCAAAAAATATACTATAACACCAATGGAGAGCCCTCCCGTAGTTGGAAGAATGCAGGGCAAACAAATTCCATGAAAAAAGGCAGGAAGAGACAAACTAAAATGAACATAAAATAACATGGGTAACCACGGTGCACCCCCACAAAAAGGGCTTAAAATAGGATAAAAGGTTTGTCAAATGGAAAAGAGGAACTTGATTGGTGCAGCGATTTAAACACTCACTAGTCTTGGGTTTGGATTCTGCTCGGAATAGTCCTTCTCAGCTATAAAGGCTCAAGTCAAATGCTAAGTCCCACCAGGGACGATTCTATAACACGATACTGCCTGTAAATCACAACTGGCAGTCCCACACAGCGCTCTGCAAGAGTCAATTTCAGAGGGCTTTAAGTCTGCCTCACCTGACTCAACGATGGCTCATTATCTTAACAAATGAAGTATTTAAAACCTTCAAAATACTTTTACTGGTTGGAAGTCATGGCAGGAACACTGTAAAGCCCCTTGGGAGTTGAATGCAGGCGAGTACTTAACAAGAACACAACTCATTTGCCCCGGTACAAATGGATCTTATTTATCAGAACACAGTAAAGTTCAACAGAACTTTTACTCCCACCTCAATTGCCAATTAAGTTTCTGCATTGGCCAATAAATATAGATTGTGTATGCATAAAGGAGATTGTTTAATCTTCACAATTTCTTTTGTTACACAGCCATCGCTTTCATGAGCTATGGTTCATAAAATTATCCCATTTCAGTTTCAAGCCAAAAATGCTCTTTAGTTTAATTGAATAAAGAGCATAAAACAGACTGCACTGAGATTTTATTTTGGTCTTATACATGCAGAACTCCATCACCATGCTTAAATATATCCGAACCAGACAGAATTCCATGAATATATGCCACCTCCAAATGGAAAGTTCCCCATGCCTGTCATGGAAAATATGGAGGGATGCACCCTGCTTGCCCCAATTCCGGAGTGTTAGAGGCAGGTTAGCAAACTTGGGGACTGTATTGTGTGACTGGGGTAACTACTGGAGTGTTACCAGCTAAAACCGCACAGCTTGCCCATTGAAAACGTTGTCTGGCAAGTTTCCTGCTAAAGCTGGCAACTGCCAAGGTCAATTTCCCCATTATGTGCTATTTAAAGGAACACTATCTTATTGGTGATAAGATATTTAGATCAAAGCAGGTCTAATTTGAAATGAAATAATAAAACAATAATCTTTGCATTTAATACAGCACTATATACCTTCTCAGAGCCCTTCGCAGGTGACTGCCATCTAGTGTGGTGACTTGGGTATACATTTGTAGGGAATATGGCCACAGTAAAATCCAACAAACAGCCAACTAATATCTCCGGAGGAGGTTTGGCCAGGACGAGTAATCTGGTTGCAAGATCAAGTAAACTACTGAAATGTGTTTTTTTTTAAATCGATAAAGGTCATTCCAAAGAGTCTACTTTCCTTATGGACTAAAAGGTTACCCTAGAAACATAGAAATTTACGGGACAAAAAGCCAATCAGCCCATCGTGTTTTGTCCTGGCTACTTCAAAGGACAATCCCTCCTGGCGTGTTTACCTGGCCTTTCCACAAACACAGATTTATAAATGCCAGGCCTGCCATGCTACTCCAAATTCAAACAGGGTTGGATGGTGCTGCTTTGCCTACCATAGCTTGCAAGTCAACTTGCGGGTTCCAATCTGAATCGTACAGAATGACCACGTCCGCAGTCGCCAGATTGATGCCCAGGCCACCGGCTCTCGTGCTCAACATGAAGATGAACTTGGAACTGTTCGGGGCATTAAAGGTATCGATTGCTCGCTGTGGAAACAAGACAAAAATGCAGTATTCGTTCAGTTAATGTTCTTCGTAATCAAACTTGCCTACCTGTTGCTATCCCTTTTACGCCTTGTGGTAATAATAACCCTTGTATTTGGTATAGGATCTTTCTCATCAAAAAGACATCTCAAAGCATTTCACAGGATTTTACTGTAAAGTACAGCAACTGCATATTTTGCACACAGAACCTCCCAAAAACAGATTTTTTTATCTGCATCCCGCCACCAACCACATTGAGCTCTAGAACATGAAATGCATATATATTGTATTTCTCAAACCTTGCAGTTTTAAAAGTAGGTCCAAAATCAATTCTAAATATACTTATATAAGAGCCTAACATATAAAGTACTGATATACTTATAAAATAGTACTGAATCAATATCATACACATTTACAGAATGAATGCATGTGTTGCACGCCTCGGAGAAGAGATGCAAACACAGAATGGGGTCATCCAGACAGGGGTTCCTGAAGAAAGAGAACAAGCTCATTCTGCCCCTGCATTGCTGGACAAACGGCAAATCCAAAGGAACAAGCTGCAGTTCAAATCACCTCTCTTTGTTCGTGTTGTGTCTGTCCATCAAGACGACAGTAGTCATAGCCACGCCACATGCAGTAGTCTTCCAGTATGTCAAGTAAACGCGTCATCTGGCTGAATATTAGCACTCTGGAATCTTTAACACAAACAGTGACAGTGAGACCACTACCGAACGGTCCAATTCTCCGAAGACATTTGCTCAAACGCACAAAGACGGCGACTGTTTGTTGGATAGCTCCCCTGACACAACATCAATGATCTTTCACAAAATACTCTTTTGAGGCTTTGGGCAGTGTTCTGAAGGCGAACACCAGCACTCTCCACTGTAAAGCCGACTGGTCGATAAATTTCACTGCATTTATCAACCAAAAATGTTCCCATCCAGCACAATTTGTGAGGTTGAGTCACTGACTCCACAGGAGAATTAATTCCATCCAATAACTTTCACAGCAGTGGCTCAGAGAAGCAAATTCACCCACACGGACTAGAAAGGGAAAGCTCTACCTCTCAGTGGGGGGGGGGTGGTTAAAAAGTGGCATTTGTAACAGAAGCCGCCAACCGAAACTCCTGACGGTTTCCAGATGTGTGCTTCGACCCCCCCCTCCCCTACCCAACCCACCTCACCCCACCCCTTCCCCAAACCACCCCGATGGGCAGGAACTCTGATCTGGATCAATCTGCTTCCACATTACGTCAGTAAACATAAGCGGCATCTGAACACCCCACCCACCTTGCTCCCTTAGTTTAGGCAGCAGTTTATCCAGGACCACCATCTTGCCGCAGTTGGCCACCAGGTGGGTGTCTGTGGTGTAAGGTGGGCCGGGTTCAGCCCCGTCAAACAGGTACGGGTGGTTACAGCACTTGCGCAACTGCATCAAGATGTTCAACAGCCGCATCTTGTCCATTTTACCGGCAGAGTTTAGAATATCGATATCCTTCATCAAAATCCTCGTGTACCTGTAACCATTCGGTGTTGAAATCAGAAATTTACAACAGATTGCATTCATGCAGCACCCTTCACATAGGGTAATGTCTCAGAGCGCTTTACGGTGACGGTGGAGGGTTGGAGGGGGGGGGGGGCGTGGAGGGTCAACGCCGAAGAGGAAGTGATCATAGGCACAGTTAAAGAGGTAGGTTTTAAGGCAGGACTACTCATCTCACTAGCCCTGGTTGTCTTGTTTGCTAGGTAAAAATAATAATCCTTGTATTGATAGTTGTGTCTTTCACGTCGAGACAACATTTTTTGAACAGCTTCACAGGATATATATACTGCAACCTGCATTTTGCAGGCGCAACCAAATTTGTGCACGGTAAATGTCACGCAAACAGCCAGGAAGTGAACGACCAATTCAATAAGCACTTTCACTTTACTCATCCCTTTCAATTCAGCAAGCGCTTCTAGAAAGCACTCTTTAAGGGAGAGACGTAAAATTCTTAAAATAATTTATATTGGAAGCAACTTCTCCAGGTCAAGTTTTTAATCTGCCACACGACATGTAGCAGGATTTCCTCTCAACATCCTGCTGCTAGACATCATTGTATCCCGCCAAGCATTCATTACCCACAGGTGAGTGAGTGGCTGGTTGCTTACCACTCTCTCTGCATTTTACTGAGGCCGACGTAAATCTTGGTTTCTTTTTTAGGAAGCAAACTTTTTTCAACCTCTGCTTTTATCCGACGTAGCAAGAATGGACGAAGAACCTTGAAGACGGGAGTGAGAAATAAAAGTACGGGGGAAGTGGGGGGATAAGAATGATAAAAGGTTAAAATCAGATTCCGGGTCACTTACTCCTTTTGGCATAATATTCAACAGTTATAACAGGTTTATTCTAGGCTTCTCTGAACAGAATGGCCAGTCAGGTACGTACTCTACCGGCCAAATTAGCTTGAAACAGATTAAAAACACGTCTCCAAACCCGCATTTAATGTAACCTTTTGACAGTCCCCCCTAAATTACTAAGTTTGTGCGTTATATCCAGTCTGAGACAAGCTATCTGCCATCTCTGCACATAGGGCAGATAAAAAAGCACAATTACGGATTTTTGCTCACATTCATGCTCAAGGTCTCAATACCATTCAACCTTCTTCAGCGATGAATGCATCTAAGGTTTCATAAATCTCCCCGAGTAGCTTTTTAGCACTTTTGTTAATACGAAAAAAGGAAGATTGTGGCATTTCCATCTCTTTATTACTAACACTTTCACTTCATTATGCTGGTACTTTGCACATCAATCCACCTCTTCCTCTGACACCCGATTTGCCTGACCTCTCACAGTGCCTCAGCGCTCACAATTTTATATTGAGTTGCAATTTAAGTGTTTTCTTTGTGAGACGATTTAATCTCGCATAATTTTCTCCTGACTTGAGACCCAAATCGAAATACTCAACTTCCTTTGGACATGGTTGTAACGCAGCAACTTACAGCGTGTAAACGTTCCACCAGTTGCTGATCACCAAGACAGTTGTTAGTGTCAAACCAGGAATCAAAATCCTGTAAAGAAACAAGAGATCGATTAATACTGTTATTAAAATATTAGAAGAGCCACGTACTTGACGTCCCTTCACAATGTTGCTGGTCTGAGCGTTAACAAGAACATTAAATAATAATTGCATTAACGTCCCTTTCGTTTGACGCAGTGCCTTGTCACGTCGACAGAACTTCTCAAAGTGCAACACACAATTTTCTGTAAGTGTAGTGACTGTATTTGTAGGCTGGGTAACTGCCGAAACAAGCAGTGTAGGGGGAGCCCGGCTGGACACCACCTGGAGAAGGTGGCTTAGGAACCCAAGTAACTTGCGTCCAAGAGGTCTGAACACACCAGGTCCTCATCAGAGGGCTCCCTCGCCCGACTTTCATTCAATGTTAAAATGCAAAATTCCTTGGATTGAGTCAAGGTGGATCGAAAGCCACGTGATGCGGACAGTATAACCCACTGCACGTTGCTACACAGCTGCCCGACCACATCGTTGCTGACCCAGCGTCACACCGACCGCAACAAAGGAACTTCAATCAAAACTCCCCAACAATAGCCTGCAACAGAAATGATAGCCAACTTACATCAGCAGAATTAAACACGTCAGGCAGCAGGAAGTTGAGCAAAGCCCACAGTTCGTGAAGGTTATTTTGCAAAGGCGTTCCCGTCAGCAGCAAACGGTTTGTTGATTTAAACTCCCGAACAATTTCTGACAGCTGAGGGGGTTGAGTGGGGGTGCGGGGGAGAGAGGAAGAGAAAATAGTTGGAAGTAAGTAACTGAGAGGAAAAGCACACTTTAAAGAAATAAATAAAAAATTGTATATTCTCTTTAATCCACACCCGCACTGGTCACTAGTTAAATGGCACGGCAATTGACAGACTCGAACCCAACACTTACGCACGTTATGACACCTCAGCCCTTCACAGGGGCCTGCCTTTCTCTTCGCCTTCCCACCTCTATGCCTTCCCTCACCCCTACACCACCCCTCCCCCATGCTCGGGCCCCGACACCTGACTGTTCAGCACTTTGGGACGTCCTCCTGACGTGAAAGGCGCTCTGTAAATGTAATTTTTGTTGTTGTTGTTGCCCAGGTAAAGGCCATTCCTGCACATTAGCATGGAAGCAGCAGGGCACAAGTTAGCAGAGAATATTGTGAGTAAGGTGGGTAGGTATTCTAGGATGAGATCAGATGAGCTGAATCTCTCTCAGTGAGAAGCTCTCACCTTGGACTTCTCATTCTTGATCCTGTGCGCTTCGTCAATCACCAGGTACCTCCAGTTAAACTTTTTGAACACAGATTTTTCCTTAATGACCATTTCGTACGATGTGACACAGACGTCCCAATCTCCAGGCATCATAACGTCCCGAATAAAGGCAGCCTGAAATTCAACAGAAAGGTTTTTTTAATGGCAAAAATATAACTAATCATCATGAACTCTTTTCTCCTGAGAATGTCATTTCCGAAATCGATGCAACCATCTTGTTTCATTAACGCAACCAAAAAGGAATTGCCCTTTATCAATAAAGGTGATCACCATTCAGTGAGAGCATTATTGTTTTCACCAACCAGTATATCTACTAACCTTTGGTGAGTGTGCATTTGTAATGGGATTTTCCATTAGAATCATACAACACACACACAAAAAATACTTAGTAACAAGCTGAGAATAAGACCAAACAACGCAAATTGCTGCTCTAACCTGCAAATACGAGGAACAGAAAAGATAACCCTGTGATGTACAGAGAGAAAGATAATCTCACCCCCAACGATACGTGATTGAATCTTGAGCAAGATATTCTTGAAAGAAATTTCCTTACCCTTTGATCTTTGTCTCCAATGAGGCAGACTGCACGGAGAGACGGAACCCAGCGCTTGAACTCATTTATCCAATTGTGCAATGTGGATTTGGGTACCAACACCATATGTGGCCCGGGAATATTCCTGAAATGCTTCAGATAGCCCAGCAATGCAATTGTTTGCAATGTTTTACCAAGACCCTAAATAATTTGAACACACATACAAAAAAATGCTGTATTAAAAAAATAAACTTATGGATGAATTTATTATATAGGATTTCTGAAAAATAATTTCACACTGATACTATACGTTCATTTGGCAAGCTTTGAGGAACATCAGAAGAGCCATTAACGATGCAAATAACTAAAGCTTTTAATTTTTCGGACTATCGCTGCATGAATGTGGAATACATCAGAGCTCTCACTCATTAGTCACATTACTTGCAGCGATTGATTTACCTCATTAAGTAATTTTCCTAAATAACTATTTTTTCGGTTCCCCAAGGGTTCAGCGCACTTACTTAAAGAATAGCTGAGCTATGCAGGTCCCAGATTCAATCCCTGGTTTGTGCTGAGTTAGCAGACCTCAGTGAGGAGCTACAATTAGCCTCATCTGCCCCAGGTAATGGAAGGGGGAGAATAACACTAATGCCAGCCAAGGTTCGTACTCCTGATCCCTGCTGGAGAAGGTACATGTATGAACCCTGGTCAAAGAGATGATCGGGCACAGCTGTGACACCTCCAACCTTGGCATCAAGGCACGTACATAAATCATGGTCAACAACGACAACTTGTACCTATAGAGTACCCTCCACATAGGTGAACGTCTCAGAGCGCTTAAAAGTGGTCACTTAAGTAAGGAGCCCTGTGGGTTGAGGATGGGGGAAAAGTGCAGAGGAGAAGGATTGCTCCAGCCTCCATAGACACTTGTGATCTTGAATTCCCATCCAGTTGAGCAAAAAATCCTTCAAGCCAACAAGCTAACGTGACATTTGAGATCCAAAGCAGCACACAAAAGCTTTTAAGTCAACATTTTAAACCAAGTAAGAAAATAAACTAAATTAAAATCTTATTCCACTGGGTTTCTCCTCACCATTTCATCAGCGAGAATGCCATTGATGCCATTTTCGTACAGGGAGATCAGCCAGTTCACACCTCTGACTTGGTAGTCTCGAAGAGTTCCTGTTTTTACATCTTGAATAGGAAAGGGAGAAAGCGGGGAAAAGAGGTAAGATTTTAATCCACTTCAAGTAAATCAACAAATCCAGTCCAAGTTCTGAACCAAATGCAAAAAGCAATCAAGTTTGAGATTAGCGTTTTGAATGAGATTTTTTTTAAAAAAATTGAAAGGTGGGAGTTAAAAATGAAACTTGTTTATGATACAATCTTAAATGGCAAAATGCTGAAGCTAACGATGACAACATGGACCACAGCTCGCAAGGATCTTACAGTTAAATACTTTACAGCAATGGAAATGTGGCTAGAGCATGACAATAAGCCAAACCAGCACCAAAGGCTTTACTGGTTAAAGGCACGCCTGGCTCAGCACCAGAATTGCAGGTTCAAATCCTGACATAACCAGTTGGGGACAATAATTGGCTTTGGTTATATGGATCAGTGAACTGTGGGGTGGGGTTTAAAAGACTTTAATCCTTTCAGTCCAGCTGAAAGGAAGCCCGTGCCCAATCACTTTGAGTCACAGAAATCAGCAAATGGGCCAAGCGAAACAAAAGTGACAGAACAGCTTCTGTTAAATTCTTAGCGTTTGCAAGGATTCAAATAAATATATTGAAATCCTAAACTGACGAAGCGCAGGTATAAAACCTAGATATAATTTTCTAGAGCCTAAACGTGTGAAAATAATCTAAAGTCAGATGTCGTTTTAAAACATAATTCACTTTCTTTTGATATCTGACAACAGGAGCAACTATCCGTACGCGAGTAAATTAATGAGCATCCCCCGGTTACTATCACGGACAAACTTACAAGACGGCGACTCTTCAAATCGAACACAAACATTTGATGTCTTTTTGCTTTCGGACAAGAGCTCCTCATCCTCCTCCTGTTCGGTGCGTCGATGGCGGTTACTTAAGACCAAAAGAAAGTTCAGAGAGGTTGGCATTCCAGCAATATATGCACATACACATCTTTGAAGTAAGTTGCAATACAGTGGATTCTTAAACTCAACAAATGCCATTCAACAGATAGTCAAAGACAGAGACAGAGATAACACAAAATACAAATTCAACTTGAACGAGTCTGTTGACGATGCCATAGCGCCTCCAAACAAACAGTTAGCAAACTCCCCAAACACCATAGAGCAAAGTGGATCTTACTCCCCAGCAGAAAGCAGAGTCTGCTTCTCGTCCTGTTTCGTTCTCGGTCGTCCCAGTTTCAATTTCAGTGGGGACGACGGAGATTTCTGAGCGGCCGGTTGTATAAAATGTGCAAAGAGCTCGGTCTGCTTTAAAAGGAACTCAAATCTTTTGGTACGGTCCATTTTCTATCAGGAGAAGAGCAAAAACGATTTTTTTAAAAAAACAATAATAATAAATGCCGTTGAGAGTTAAAACAGACAGATGCCAGAATCATTAGCCAATGGTTCCCTACCATTTTTTCCTCGTATTCAGAATCCACTTCATTTCCAAGTATTGAAGCTTTCGGTGGAAGTTTGAGTTGCAGAGGCATAACAAAGCCCTGAAAATTAAAAAAATCAGAAATTAATATCTGGCGTGCTCGATTTCTAAAGTGCCATTTTCTTCCTTTGACATTACAGCCAGGTTAAGATCACTGAAGTGTTAGTGTTGTTTTAAAAAAAAGACAATCACTCACCTCTTATCAAAATTTACCAGAAGTGTTGTGTTTCACAACGACTTTTAGACCGGAGCTTCAGCTATCTGGCTATCCTAAAGAGCAGCCAACTACCTACAAACCCACAGTCACTACACTAGACAGCAATGACCTGTCAAGCACTTTGAGTCGTATTGATGGTATAAGCCATATATTACAAGTGAGGATTAAATATTATTATTATTACTGACATTTTCTGGCGTCTCTGCCATTCTCGCACAGGGATAAATTCCACCTCTGTCCAAATTTATACTTATTTACGTGGCATTCCACAGTCCAGAATTTAACAAACTGTCGAATTGTCTTAACTCTTCTATGCGTCCGTTTATCTTAAAAGAACTTAAGAGAAAAAAAAATTAATTCTGTAAATCCTTTTAAAGAAAAAAAAGGAATTTGCCAAATTCTGCGCGCACTAAAAATGCTGCTTCAGAGCGTAAAACTAGACCCAGGTGAAGTTTCTCTCCTGTGCTGAGCAACGCCTCGTCCGGCTTTGTCTGGCTGCCGTGCACTTTTCTCGCCACTCGGTGTCACCGTTTTCATTTGCTTTGCCATCGTTCTTCATCCTCGAAATGGCAATTTTCACCCTTTGTGTTTCTGCACGAATTTACAACCTGCGCACTGTGCCGCATCCCGGACCAGTGCTAACCAGCCAGTTCGGATAAACCAGCCTTTGGGCCATTTTAGTCGAGAGAAGAAGGCAGGAGGCGAGAGGAAGAAACAAACAGATATTTTGTCGCTTGAGGCTACTGTTTTCCTTTTGATTCTCACTTGGCAATTTTGAGTGTCTTTTTGAAAAAAGTGTAAAATCCTCCTTTTCCTTCCTAGTTCTTTCTCCCCGTCTTCCCCCTCCCGAGCCCCCCAAAAACTCAAGGCGGACAGATGACTTGCTCTAAGGTCACTTTCGATGCTGTTGCTGTCAGGCGAGACACTGAACAATGGTTGTGATACAACTCCCCCACTTGCCCGTTAAGAGAGGCAACAGACCCACCGCCCATCCTGGGCTTCCTCAGGCACGAAGGTCACCAAACGGCTCTGGTGGTTGCTCTCCGTCCTCACATTAACCAAAGTCTGCGCAGTAACTAAAGCCTTATCGCCCCGAAGACCTTCCTGCCAAAAATACACCAATAATAATAATACTTTTGCATAGTATAGCGTCTTGGCACTTCGAAACATCTCAAAGATCTCCACAGAAGTTACTGTAAAGTGTTGCGACTGTGTGTTTGTTTGCAAACCAATTTACTTGCACAGAGACTATAAAAATACGGACCGGCCCCCAGCCCCCCAACTCCCATCAATTATTTTCTGTGCTGATCCGATTCTGTACCATCCCATCCCCACCTCCTCTCTCGACGTTCTGTACAAGCAATTGGAATCGAAGGAATCAGTTTGGATGGAGGAGCAAATAGTTTGACTAATATTATGGCTTCTGACCGTGTCATAGATTTGGGGGGGGGGGGGTTATTGCGGGGAGGTGGGGGGGGGGGGTGGAAGAAAATATAATCATTTCTGAATAAATTGAACATTTCCAGGTCATAGAGTGGTTCAAGAAGAGCCTTGAAACCGAGTTGTAGCAAAGATCTGATCATCACTAGGTGCGAGAGGTAAAAAAAAAATCTGACAGTGACGGATTATTACTGTTGCTATTCAAACTCCATCATTTCAGCAAACAGGGTTCAGCGCCTTGGGACGTCCTGCCGACGTGAAAGGCGCTTTGCAAATGTCACTCCGTTGTTGTTCAGACCCGAGCGAAAGGCAACGATACCATAAAGTTCATACGCTGATCACAAACGGACACAAACTCGAGTCAACCAAGTGACGAAACACCCACAAGGGACCGAGACCGATGGCAGAGGGCGGCACAGCGGCAGGTACGGCCTGGCGTTTTGGGTGGGGGTGGGAAACAAAGAGAGCAAGATATACAGGGTCCCAAATTCTGGTGGGGTTGGGGGGGGGGGAAGAGGGCAAGTGAAAGGAGGAGGGGCAAGTGAGTGAGTGGGGGGGACTCATGGGGGGGGTAGCTGCGTGTGTGGATAGGCTCTGTGTGTCTGTTGTTTGTGTTGGGGGGGTGTATGTGTGTGTGGGGGGCTGTGTGTATGTCTGTGTTGAGGGAGGGCTGTGGTTAGGTCTCTGCTGGGTGGGGGCTATGGTAAGGTCTGTGTTGGGGGGGGGGGAGGGCTGTGTATAGGCCTGTGTTGGGGAGGGGGGGTTTGCTGTGTGTATGTATGTGTGTGTATGTGGGGGGGGGGGGGCTGTGTATGTGGGGGGGGGGTTGGTGTGTGTGTGTGTTCAGTGTGTGGGGGTGGCTGTGTGTGTGTGTGTGTGTGTGTGGGTGGCTGTGTGTGTGTGTGTGTGTGTGTGTGGGGGTGGCTGTGTGTGTGTGTGTGTGTGTGGGTGGCTGTGTGTGTGTGGTGTGGGGGGGGGGGGGGGTGCTGTGTGTGTGTGGGGGGGGGGCTGTGTGGTGTGTGGGGGGGGTTGGCTGTGTGTGTGTGTGGGGGGGGGGTGCTGTGTGTGTGTGGGGGGGGTTGGCTGTGTGTGTGTGGGGGGGGCTGTGTGTGTATGTGTGTGTGGGGGGGGGGGGGCACTCACCACATCCTGTTGCTGCTGCTGTTGTGGTGCTGGTGGTGGTGGTGGAGGCGGTGGCTGTTGGCCTGACGTTGTGGGCTTCTCCTCATCAGCCATAACGGCCCGACCCGGGGAGGGCCTCGTTGTTATTATTATGATTATTACTGTTCCTCTCCCCCCCCCCCGGACCCCCAAGTCAGTCAGTCAGTGTGTGTGTGTGTGTATGTGTGTGTGGGGGGGGGGGGGGGGGTCTGTTCATTGGTCACTGCTCTGGTTAAGGGGCTCCGTTGGTCGGTTAGTGTCTCCCGCCTCTCACACACACACACACACCAGGCCGGGGGGGGAGAGGGAGGGGCGGGGTCTTGGGATCTCGCGAGACTGCGTGACGCGACGCAACGTGACGCGGCGCGACGCCCGGCCAATCGGCGGACGCCAATGCGGCGCTGCCAGTCTGTGACGATTGACCGACTGCGCATGTGCGCTGCGCCCCCGGAGACTGGCAAACTCCTCTGAGCATCTGCTTGTCTGTCACTGTGGCCCCGCCCCCCCCCCCCCCCCCCCCCCACACACACACATATTGTATATCTGTACAATATTATTATATGATATTATTATATTGTAATAATAATGAATAATAATAACAACAACAACTTGCATTTGATACAGCGCCTTATCAGGGTCTCGCAGCACTTCGCAGAATTACACGGTAAAGTGTAGTGACTGTGTATTTCTGCGGGCAAAACGCGGCCGGCCGGCCGGCGGCGCGCACACACAACGGCGCCCCGCAACCGGGCGTGTATTCCCGGACGGGGTTAAAGATTGGTCAAGTTTCCTTCCTCCAAACGCCTCTGTTTACCCGGTTGTTAGCCGATTGGCGGATGGCTTTCCGGGTGGGGTGGGGTGGGGTGGGGGGGGGGGGGATGGGGGTGGGGGTGGGGGGGGGGAAGAATTCCTTCAAAAATACAAATAGAACAATTTTCTCACTCGATCGGCGACTCGGTTTGTGGGACGCTGCTGTGTGCGATCGGCTGCCGCGTTTCAGCCGCTAATCATTACAGTCACTTCACTTCACAGTATATTCTGCGAAGCGCTTTGAGGCGTCTCGAAGACGAAGAAGATAAGGCGCTCTACCAAACGCGAGGATAATGTATTGTTATCTATTACCGAGTGACCAAACAACAACCGCTTTCATTTGTGAAGCGCCCTTCACACATGGGGCAGCGTTTTGGAGCCCTTGAACCCCATCATCAGCGGACGAGCTTTGAGCCATTTTGCCCCCTTTCTCCAGAACTACATCCTGGAGTCCCGCCACCTCACCCACTTCCCTCCCTACTTTTAAAACCCACCTTTGGCACCACCTCTTTAACCGTGCAATTAGCCATCTTCCCCCACACCCTCCTCTGAGCCCCACCCAGTCAGCTGTGTGAAGCACTTTGAATAGTCCTGACGAAGTGACAGCAGCTAAATAAATGAAGATCGTGTTGCACTGCACAGCACTATTACGTTTTATATGTTACTCATCTACGCGAGACAAAGGACAAAGATGCATACCAGCCAATGGACCATCAGCACCAGAAATTCCTTTCCTCTCTGTAATACTAGAATAACCAGAAACAGATTAGAGGTGGCACAAGGGCAGACAATTTGATAGCTCCAACAGTTTATACGGTTCAAACTTTGAGAAACTTTGGAACATTTTCTCCCCTTTGACCCGTTCCGTGGAGTCCTGTAGCTCAGCGGTTAGAGCACTCGCCTCACAAGCAAGAGACCAAGGGCGAAACCGTGGGCAAGTTTCTTTACTCCACACGCCTGATAATAATTCCTCAAGGTAAAAAAGAACAATAATAATTTGGTCACTTCAATCCACAACTGTTTGTGGGACACTGCCGTACGCGTTTTCGCCCACAAAGATGCAGTCAATTCACTTTACAGTGCGTTCTGTGAAGCGCTTTGGGACGTCCTCCCGACATGAGAAGCGCTATATCAAATGCAAGGATTATTATTATTATTATTACTATTTACAGTCTATTCTGTGAAGCGCTTCGAGACGTCGCGAAGACGTGAGAAAAAGCACTATATCGGATTCAAGGATTATTATTACTATTATTATTCAATGCCCAGAAAAGAGCTTCTCTGATGTCGAATAAACTGTGTCGTCAACTTACCCTCAAACATCCTCCAAACACACGTGTTTATATGAAGTGAGTTTCAGTCGAATGTTGTGAAGTTTTGAGGTTATAATCACAAAGTATGATATCATGAAATGCTTATGAGGTCACGTGTGATATCATGCAACTCCCAAGATTCTGTTGCCGTATTGAACCACCTGCCCTTTGCCATACACTGGGCTCAGTCCCTCCAGGCCGAATAATAATAATAATAATAATAATAATAATAAATAACCCTTGCATTTGATATAGCGCCTTTCACGTCGGGAGGATGCCTCAAAGCGCTTAAAGATTTTTTTTTAAAAAAAAGCTGCATTCTGTACAAGTCAACAAACCAACCGCTGTCGTCTCCCTTCACTGGAGAGCGTACAGTTAATTCTGCATTCCGCGTCCTGGGCATTTTGGCGCTCAGCAAAACTGGGGGAAACATACCAGATTAAGAGTAATAATTGCAGTGCACCGGGTCACCAGTGGCTGCACAAACGGTGCTCTCCGAGTCAGACAGGACGCGTATAGATCAATGCAAGAGGGGATAGCCCGAGAATTTTTTTTTGGGGGGGCTGGGGTGGGGTGGGGGGGGGAGTCAACCAGGTGTCTGACACACGGGGAAACCTATCACCGCGCTTAAGAGAATCCAAACCAAGCGGAGAATTCCACGCGTCCCCACCTACACACGGAAATTCCGCAGATGGAATGGAAACCAGACTCTCTTCCCTTTTGGCAGCGTGAAATGTTTTTTTTCCCCTGGGAATGTGTTGGGTGCGTTTGGGTCGAAGGTCCACGAGGTGGCACCAATGGGTCATTTCTTCAGCAAAAGCACTGAAGAACGCACTTAATGTTTTGTTGTTGTTGTTGTTGTGTGTGTGTGTGTGTGTGTTGGGGGGGGTGGGGTGTAGGGTGGTGGGGTGGGGGGGATAAGGGGGTGGGGGCTGGTTGTCATTAAATAACTTGACAAGTCTTTAATGAATGTTAATACGGTTTTCGTTGGGGATCTTTTAAAAAAAAATTAAAGAGAAAATTCCTCACTTTATTCAGCGCAGTCTGGTAACCGTGTTCGTTGCAATAAATCTCCGGTTATACCCGGTTCGTCTGTGTTTATTTGTGTGTTAAATATTACAGACAGAAAATAAAGGCCTAATTCCTTTGGATAAATACACAGTGTTTTGATCTCTACAGAAATGGACCGTGGACTTGTCTTATTTTTTAAATGAACGCTCAACACTATGGGTTGCCACCTCTGGAGATCTGAAGTGCGGGTCAAGAAAAAAAAATACTGCTTTCTAATATATTGTTGTAGTGATGTCCCCAAGTTCTATACGTTCGTGAATTGTACTGGAGGGAGCTTTAACCTTGAGGTTTATTTTAAGCACTCTGAAACACCCCCTGCTTTGAGGGTGACTGATAAATGCAAGTTGTTGTTGTTGTTACACTAGCTTGCTCACAACCGAAACAGTAATATCCACAATAACTACACTTCTCGATATACAGGTCCGGATGATATGCACTCGCAATCCTAATTTCTCAAGGGAAAATAAATGGCAAAGTAGCGCTAGGGATGGGCTGCAGGTCAATCAACATATGAAAGGGAAAGATAGGTTCACGCTCAGGGTGTGATCGTTCATTGGAACTCGGGTTCTTGTTAAGTTACACCCAACACAAATGCTGTGAATTAACATTTAAACAAATAGATAATAAAAATAGTCCCAGACTGCTTAGTCACCGTATCCTAATTCTTTGCACGTGTTTGATATTCTAATACTATTTGATCTCGTTGACCTGTGTGCGGACGGATTGCACGTGCGAGCAATCTCTTTCAGAATGTCATCACTCGGCTCTCCTTTTTAATATCTCCCTTGATTTGGTCTTTCGTTTCATCTGCCTGCGGGATCTTCAATCCTTCTGCTCTCGTCCTACTTGAAATTGAAGACTCGATGGACAAGTGCAACACCGCAAGCGCTGAAACACATTGTCCAGGGCATTCGACGCGTTCATTCCCAGCTCTGTGCCGAATGACATTATCTTCGCTGAGGTCGTGCAGGGGAACGCGTGCACTCAAAAATCAGCCGAGGTGCCCGCAATTGTGACTGAACCGCTTCCATTCTGGAGTAGCAGCTTGTCTGGCTCACAAACGAGACCTTGGAGGTTTAGAAGCGTCCCAGCCAGACACCCGCACACAAGGACGCCCAAACCTGAAGAAACCCAATAACAATCCTCGGCTTTGGCGGTAGTGCCCTCGTGGCGTCTCCGAGACGTCTCAAAGCCCTTGGCGGGACCCGCCGTGAAGCGAATGGGCTGGAGGTTTGGCGTGCGGTGTGCGGTGGGGTGTGGGGTGGGGTGGAGTGGTGGGGGGAACGGGAACGGGTGCGAAACTTACACAGTAAGATATTCCGCCTCCTGCCCTGTTCGTACCCGGGGAGGCGGTGGGGGCGGGGGGGGGGGGGGGGGGGGGTTGTGTGTGTGAAAAGAAATGATGATAGGAGCTGCATGTTTCTTTATTCAGCGTCATTAGACGATGTGACTGCATTGGCCAACTCCAGCTTAAATGGGTGGGAGAAACTTGGTGTCTGTTGAGTTGCTCACAGTGCTTCCTCCTGTGGACACACACACACACACACAGAGAGAGAGACACACAAGACAAGGCATTGCAATTGCAATTGCATTGCAACTCGTGTGTGGTTAACACACACTCCTGGTGATGGATTTTACACAGGATCCAACTGAGTGACAAGGAGAGAGAGAGAGAGACATTATAGCAGCATCTGTAACCCACCCCCTTAAAAAAGTGAGGGGTGTTTTTTTTTGGGGGGGGGTATTTGCCTCTCCTTTGCACTGGGACACATGAGTGCAGAAGACATCGTATTCACTGGCTGGCTCATCAAATCACCCCCAGAAAAGAAATTAAAGCGCTATGTAAGTACAACGCACTGAACGCCTTTGCAAACCCCCACTGCCCCCTCTCACGTTTAAAGGGACGAGAGGAGGGACCGACTGTGGTATGTGTTGTGCTGCAAACGGTCAGTGTTCACACAACACAACACCACACAACACACACTGCACAACACACACTGCACAACACACACTGCACACAACACACACTGCACACTACACAACACACACCACACAACACACACTGCACACTACACAACACACACTACACAACACACACTGCACACTACACAACACACACTACACAACACACACTGCACAACACACTGCACACTACACAACACCACACACCACACAACACACACTGCACACTACACAACACACACTACACAACACCACACACACTACACAACACACACTGCACACAACACAACACACACTACACAACACAACACTACACACAACACAACACTACACACAACACAACACCACACACACACAGCACTACACAACAGACACTACACAACACACACTGCACACAACACAACACACACAACACAACACTACACACAACACTACACAACACCACACACACACATAACACTACACACACACAGCACTACACAACACCACACACACAACACAGCACTACACAACACCACACACACAACACAGCACTACACAACACAACACACACACATAACACATACACAACACACAGCACTACACCCACACACAACACATACACACACACAACACACACACACAACACACGCACAGCCTTGACCTGCACTTCTGCCCACAACGCACTGAGCGTTAAAGCGCATTTTCCCCTTTGGTAACGAAACCTGTGCCTCTGATTGTTATGTGATGTTGTATTTGTTGAGAGGAGAGTCAGTGCCTGGAATCATTGCACTGCACTTTCTCTTTTTTTTTGCTTAATTATTAACTTCCTCTCTCCCCCCCCTCTCCCCCTCTCTCACCCCCCTCTCCCCCCCTCTCTCACCCCCTCTCCCCCTCTCTCACCCCCTCTCCCCCTCTCTCACCCCCCTCCCCTCTCTCACCCCCCCCAAAAAATACCCCCCAAAGAGTTTCTTATTTCGTTCCGACAAATGGTCATCTGTTGCAAATGTTAATTGTATTCCATTTTGCTGAGAAATGCTGGTGTTGTTATGAATATATGCTGTGGAAACTCACACACACACACACACACACACACACATGTATACACATACACACTTACGCACACACACAAACATACACACACACGTGTATACACTCAAACACTTACACACACACACATACATACACAAACACACACACACGTATACACACAAACACTTACACACACACATGTATACACACAAACACTTACACACACACATAAACAAACACACACATGTATACACACAAACACTTACACACACAGACATACATACATACACAAACACACACACACACAAACATTACAACAAACACTTACACACACACACATATACATACACAAACACACACACACACACACACATGTATACACACAAACACTTACACACACACACACACAAACACACACACATGTATACACACAAACACACACACACATACACAAACACACACACACATGTATACACACAAACACACACACACACAAACATACACACACACACATATACATACACAAACACACAGACACACGTATACATACACACACATATACACGTATACACACACACACACAAACATACACAAACATATACACAAACACACACATATATATACACAAACACATATACACACAGACACACACACGTATACACACAAACACACCTATATATACACACAAACACACACATATGCACATTAACACACTAACACACACCCACACAGTGGTTCACGCGCTGTAATAACCAACCGTTTGGCTGATTCTCTCTGAGAAATGAGGGCGTTTTCAAAACATCAGCGGCGGATCGGGAAACAGAGCCATAATAATGTTATTGGAACAGCAAATCCCACAGAGTATAACCAGTGAGAGGGCGTCACTGAGTAACGTTACACTGCGCTGTAAACAGCAGCTCAGTCAGTCATCTCACTAGCCAGCCAGTCATCTCACTAGCCAGTCAGTCATCTCACTAGCCAGTCAGTCATCTCACTAGCCAGTCAGTCATCTCACTAGTCAGTCAGTCATCTCACTAGCCAGTCAGTCATCTCACTAGCCAGTCAGTCATCTCACTAGCCAGTCAGTCATCTCACGATCCAGTCAGTCATCTCACTAGCCAGTCAGTCATCTCACTAGCCAGTCAGTCATCTCACTAGCCAGTCAGTCATCTCACTAGCCAGTCAGTCATCTCACTAGCCAGTCAGTCATCTCACTAGCCAGTCAGTCATCTCACTAGCCAGTCAGTCATCTCACTAGCCAGTCAGTCATCTCACTAGCCAGTCAGTCATCTCACTAGCCAGTCAGTCATCTCACTAGCCAGTCAGTCATCTCACGAACCAGTCAGTCATCTCACGAGCCAGTCAGTCATCTCACTAGCCAGCCAGTCATCTCACTAGCCAGTCAGTCATCTCACTAGCCAGTCAGTCATCTCACTAGCCAGTCAGTCATCTCACTAGCCAGTCAGTCATCTCACTAGCCAGTCAGTCATCTCACTAGCCAGTCAGTCATCTCACTAGCCAGTCAATCATCTCACTAGCCAGTCAGTCAGTCAGTGAGTACATGAGTGGGTGAGTGAGTGAGTAAATGAGTGAGTGAGTGAGTAATGAGTGAGTGATTAATGAGTGAGTGATTAATGAGTGAGTGAGTAATGAGTGAGTGAGTGAGTACATGAGTGAGTAAGTGAGTGAGTGAGTGAGTACATGAGTGAGTGAGTGAGTCAGTTAGTGAGTGAGTCAGTTAGTGAGTGAGTGAGTGAGTGAATTAGTCAGTTAGTGAGTGAGTGAGTGAGTGAGTGAGTGAATGAGTCAGTTAGTGAGTGACTGAGTGAGTCAGTGAGTGACTGAGTGAGTCAGTGAGTGACTGAGTGAGTCAGTGACTGAGTGACAAAACTGGACTGACCTCAAACAGGCACAACAACAAAACTGCAGCCAACAACAACAACAACACACACACACACACACACAGACCAAACCCTCACTCAACATTTCGGTCCCATGTCAGCAGTTAGCGGTGACAACAGGACTTTTGCTTGAAATGGGCAAATGCAGTGGACACACTGCGTTTGCCAAAACGCCTCCCCTTTGAAAAGGCAAGAGCGAGAAGCAACCATTTCACTCCCTGACACACCGCGTGAAGGCTCTTGTAAATAAAGGGAAGTGTATCATTTGGTCTGGCAGGGACTCTGGCCGTTATTGCTATTGTTATTGCTCACGATTTCCTTCCCAGATAGACTCGACGAGCCGGTTGAGTTGTTGTGCTGCATGGTTTGACGCTATCTGTAAGAAACAGTCACCACGAGTTGCAGAGTGTGGACACACACGCACAACATAGCCTCCCCACAAAATTGGCGTTATTGAAACGGTTATTGTTTATTGCAGAGTGATTGAAGGGTTATTATTAGTAATGACACGGTAGTAATAAGTATGTCAACATTGACACATTACGCCCTGCCCCGTCGTTAAAGGCTCAATACAACAACTTAACGGATCAGAAGTTACTTAAGCATTTTAAATTGTTTATGTAAACTGTAAGCTGCAGATCCTGTTTTTTTTAAAAAAAATGATACTGAAGGAATTGAATCCTTCCATTCAGTTGATGTAACCATCATTCTGAAAGCCGCAGACTTTAAGTGGCCATGATATGTGTCCTATCCATCATATTGGCAAAGGTCGTTTAACCACACTAAGGTTTTGGATAGCGCCATATTACTCCATTGCTGAGAGCAGCGAAAGTTTTGCACAACAGCACAAAGTTTTCAACTCTGTATTACACAGTAAACTTTGGGGCTTTTGTGAGCGGTGGGGAATGGGGAAAGTTTCATTGAAACCAGGCCGGACGGGCTGTCTGTCTCTGTGCTGTCCTTGGGAGACTGTCAGCTCCGGTCAAAGATATAGTCGTTATGGGCAAATTGATTTAAAAAAATGCACGAAAATAGCATTCAGACCACATCAACCATTTTAGCTTTGCCCACAAATGCTTATCTGAACAATGCAATGAAACAAACACACTGACCAGACAGGCATCCTCACAGCAATAACCATATTTAATTTATTAACTTTTTAGTACTATATAAAAAAGTTATGTTTATTATAATACATTGCATTTTTGGTCTGGTGTGTGCGTATATATATATATAGTGTAAATATCTAGTATTTATTATTCTCCTTTTCAGATAATTATCTAATTCTCTCTTAAAAGATCATATGGATTCCGTCTTAACCACCGTTCTGGTTAGACCATCCCAAGTCCTAATAACTCTATGTGTAAAAAATATTTTTTCTAAACTTTTCCTTTGCTTTTTTATTAATCACCTTAAATCCTGTGTCTTTAGTTACCAGCTCACTGACCAGTGGATATGATTTCTCACTGCTTACATCAAACATATTTTCAATTTCTGGTCTTGATACTACAACACCAGCAAAAATAACTTGCATTTGTATAGGGTCCTTCTTGCAGGGCAGCATCTTAGTGCTACATCTATTAAGTTTACAATATCATGTAATAAGTAGACACCAAGTGCCCAGTCTTTCTTAAATGCAGAATTACTTCCCTGTGGGACTAACAGTTACTGTATGGCTACGTCTTAGATCAGTTTAACTTTGAAGGCCCTGCACTTTTGATTGATCAACAAAAGCTTGTTAGCCGAATATTATTTGTATAGATCACAGGGTTACTAATCAAACAGACATACTTGACTGATTTCTTAGTCAGCCTGAGAAGCAGGCGACTCACCCACATAATTCAAAGCTAATTCCTATACCGTACAAGTGAAGAATAATTGTAATAATAATAATAATAATAATCCTTGCATTTGATATAGCACCTTATTATATCTTCGAGACTCTCAAGGCACTCCGCATAATATACA